GGTTTCTAGTAAAGTTTGGTAAATTTGCCAGCTGGGGTGAGGCGAGAGGGGATCCACGGGGAGAGGGGACGCGTGGGGAGAGGGGACGTGGGGGTCTGGTCGCTGCGGAGCTGCTGGGGGAGGTCGGCTGGAAGGGAGCAGGGAGGGGTGAGGGTGCCCATGGGACATCCCGGCATGGGGGTCCCGCGCTCAGCACTCACCGCAGGCTTTCCCGGGGGGTGGCTCCCGTGGGTGCCCCTGCACGAGGCCATGCGGACGTGGATGAACTCATGTGCCTGTACAGCTGCTGCACCGGCTCTGCCGCGACGGCTGCCAGCACCCAGCACCGCATGGCACCCGCGGCACGGCACCCCGAGGCTCAGGCAGGTGGCAGCTGTGGCCATGGCCCCGTCCCGCTGGGCTTTGCTCCTTACCCCCTGCTTATATCCCCCCTCCCACGGCCCGGAGCCCGGCACGTGCCTGTGGTGTGGTGTGGCACGGCACCGTCTGTTCCTGGCACCGAGCATCCCACCGGGGCCAGGGCCACCTCCGCCGAGGGCCATCGCCAGCCTCGCAGGCAGCAGCACAACCCATCCCCCCCAGCCCGCTGACGGGGCTGGGGACAGCGCGGGGACCTCGGGGGCTCGGCGGAGGGACCCCCGGGGCAGGGCCCTCGCTGGGGGTAAGCGCCCACCCCGGTGGGGCCAGGGGCTCCCCTTGCTCCCACCCTGAGCCCGTGCTCCCCCGAGCCGGCCCCGTCCTCCCTGCACCCCAGTGCCCCAGGAAGGCTCCAGACCCCACGTCCTCATTAACAACACAGGTTCGTTTATTCTCCCTCCGGTGCCGGGGCTCCGCTGGCCAGGGGAGGGCAGATTTGGGGTAAAACCAGGCAGAAACAGGCCAGGGGCAGGATGGACACGCGGTGGCACTTGGCAGTCCCCAGGGTGGGAGCCAGGGCTCGGCCTCGCAGACGCCGCTCTGCCCTCCCAGCGGGACTGCGGTGGAGATGGGGGTCAGCCCCGGGGTCCCCGGGGACCCCCCCCCTCGCAGTGTGGCAGCGCCGAGTGGCAGCAGCAGCTACCAGGGATCTGGGGAGAGCTGCAGCCCGAGCAGCCCTCGGGTTGCACCAGCGTTGTCCCCATGGCTCTCGGTCCTCCTTGGCCGCCCTAGAAGATGCTCACCTTCCTGCCACAGAGCAGCTGGGGCTCGTGGCTGCCCTGCCACATCACCACCGTCTCGTAGGGCATGAAGCGGTGCACCAGCAGCAGCTCCCGGTAGTAGCAGGGATCGAAGGTGTCGGTGTTGGCCAGCACCCCCATGCCCATGGTCCGGATGCCAGCATGGGAAGTGGGTAGGAGCCCTGCCTTCTCCAAGCACATGCCCAGGTAGACGTCATCGATGGGGAAGAGCTCGATGTCCCGCGATTCCCGGGAGATGACGCGGGCAGTGAAGCCGGACATGAGCATCCCGCCGCCGCCGCAGTAGGGCGGGTACCGTGCAGAGGCCTGGAGCTGCGTGGGCACAAAGTACTTGCTGCGCTGGAGCCGGACGGGGCCGGTGTCAACGATGAGCTGCCCCACCATGAGGTGCTGCTCCTGGGCGCCCTGGGTGGCCACGGCAAAGCGGACGACGTTGTCTGTGTTGACGAAGACGTCGTCGTCCCCATTGAAGATGAAGCCAACGCTGGGGCAGTGCTCCTCCAGCCAGGCGTGGAAGAGCACCTGCTTCAGCGTCAGGTTGAAGAAGGTGTCCCTGAAGTCCCACTGCAGCACGTCCCCATGCTCCCGCTGCTCCAGCTCCAGCAGCCGGTTGAGCTTCTTGGCATCCCGGGCGCTGGGGGCCACCCCCAGGAGGAAGACCCGGCGGATGAAGGCTCCTTCGAAGGTCCTCTCCTGCCCCCAGGTCTTGCGGATCACCTCCCGCCGCTCGTAGTTCACCGGTGATGACTTGATGGCCAAGAGGAGGAAGATGTTGGGGGACCCCTCAGGCCCCCCGCACTTGTCGGGGACGCCGAGCAGCGCCGGGAAGGACCGGCAGTGCTGGTACCGCATGAAGTCCTGCACTTGGCCGGGCAGTTTGGCGAAGCCGGAGACGTTGTGCACCGAGGCGTTGGCCACGCATGGGGCAGGGGTGGGCAGAGGCCGGGGTGGGGGGAGCCTGGGGGCTGCCCGGGGGGGGGGGGGGGAGGTTCCTGGGCGCGGGGGCCACCCTGGGCCACAGCTGGTCATCGTGGTAGAGCAGGTAGCAGAGCCCCAGGAGCCCTACGGCGACCAGACCCCACAGCTCCAGCCTGTAGCACCGCCGGGATGTGCTCTGCAAGATGGGGAGCGGGATTCGGCACTGGGCATCCCTGCAACCCCGAGCATCCACACCCGGAGAGGTGCCCTGAGCCGGGGCACAGCATCCTTCCCTGCGGAGCCGGAGCACAGAGCTCCTGGCACATGGAGGGGAGCAGGGAGATCTCCCCACGCCAGTCGCGCCGTCGCAGGTAACCAGCCAGGAGGGCCCAGGCTGGGCAGGGCACCCTTGGGTGCAGGGCAGGGCCCGATTCCTCCGACTGCGCTGGGAAATGTGCAGCGGACCCGGAGCGAGCGATGAACCGCTGGCTCCGGGGGGGGCGTTCTCCTTTGGGAGAGCAAACAGGGCGCAGCCCCAGGACCTGGGGATGGCCAGCAAGGGCACGCAGACCCCCGGACCCGCTGGCATGGGGGGGTTACCGGAGGAGTTACCACCAGCTGGAGGTGTTGCGAGGTGGCGGTGGGGTGGTCCTGGGTGCAAGGAGCCCACCCGTGTTTGCTGCAAGCAGCCCTCGCCCTCAGCGACAAAGCACCGGGACAGGGGCCTCCCAGGCAAGAGCCCAGCCGCCGCTCGCCCACCGGCACCGCGCAGAGCCCAGCCGGATCGGGCCAGCCCTTGCCCAAGGTGGGGGCCCCATCCCAGTGCCAAGGAGCGCCGGCTCAGACCCCGCCGCACGGCAAAGAGCCACGAGCCCCCCCGGCAAGACCCCCCGGTACCTTGTCGCAGAGCCAGCTCGGGGCCATCCTCGCACCGCGTCTCTCCCCGCACCGGGAGCGCTGAGGCCCCAGCGGCACAGGTATCTCCTGCGGGGATTCCTGCCCTGCCAGGTGCTGTCTGTCCACCCGTCCGTCTGTCCACCCACCCCCTTGCCCGTCCACCTGCCACAGGCGGAGCAGCAGCACCCACGGGCACAAGGAATGGGCTCGGCAAAGCGCTGCCGGCTCCCTGCCTCGGTTTCCCTCGGCCCCGCAACGCCAGAGCCCCTGGGGAGCCGCGGCACGGCGGCCCAGCCCCCTTCGCCGGGCCCCGGGGGGAGCCGCGGCACGGCGGCCGAGCCCTGTTTCCAAGGAGGAGCCTGGAGGCCCCGGGGATGGGCATCGCAGCAGGAGGCAGGCGGGAGCCGGCGGAGGGGTTATTAGAAAATAAAGTGTTTAATAAAAGAGCAGCTCCTGCTCCCTTCACAGCACAGGGGAGGGCAGAGGGGACCGACTGCCGGCCAGCAGGAGACAACGCGGTGACAGCCACGGGGCGGGGGCCGGAGGGAGAGGAGGAAGAGGAGGAGGAGGAGGAGGGGGGCTCCCACCGGGCAGCACCCCCTCCCCGGCCGGCCTCCATCCAGTGTTTCAAGTTCACACAACCAAGGGGAAGCCCAGGGGGCTCGGAGGGTCCGACGGGAGGCGGCTCAGGACCCTGCCAGGTAGATCCCTGCGGAGGAAAGGTGGTGAGGAGGGGCTGTGAGGATGGGGGGCATGTGCCCGGTGCAAGGACGGTCATCACCGAGGGGCCAGGGCTTGATGCTGGCCCCAAACTGGGCTACCTGCACCCTTCCCCAGGCTGGACAGCGCCATGGGGCATCACCCAGTGAGGGGGGAACAGAGCTTGGGGTGGGAGGGAGGGGACCCCATGCACCCCAGGGCCATGGGGAGCAGGGAAGGGACCCTGTCCGCCCTGGGAAAGGGACCTCATGCACCCCAGGGAAGGGAACCCATGCACCCTGGAGAACAGGGAAGGGACCCTGCGCACCCCAAGGAAGGGACCCTGTACGCCCCAGGGGATGGGGAGAGGGCTCCGCACCCCCCAGGGCCGTGGGGAAGGGACCCCGCACCCCCCGGGCCCCGCCAGCCCGTACCTGTAGCAAATCTCTTCTTGACCAGTGACATGCGGTACCCGGCGCTCGCCAGCTCCACCTCGACGCCCGACAGCGTGCTGCCCTCGCTGGTGAACTGGGCTGCCACGGGGCTGGGCTTGCTGGGCCCACAGAGGGGCTCCCAGCTGGCCGAGAGCCGGCCGCAGCCTGGGGGGGACAGCGGAGAGGGTGGGGGGTCTGCAGGGGCCTGGGCCGGACCCTGCTCCCCTGCCCCGTGCCCTCCGAGCTGCGCGGG